TGAGGTTATACTTAGAGAGGTTTTATGGCAAATAATATACCCGTGGGACTTTGACATGAGGGTACTATTTATGTTGCAAGTTACAGTACTATAATAGGTATGTGCCGGAAAAAAACCAGTTTTGTATACCTGAAACGGAATGTTTAAACTGTAGTAAAATCTTGAATCTGGTTAGCTGAGAACGTTTCTTATTATTGGCTACCAGATTTTATGTAATACAACTTCTAATTTCACTCTAATCTTGATTTATCGTAATATGAGCATCACCTAAGGGTAATTGAATATATACTAATACTAGACCCAATAAACATTAACGAAATTTACTTTGCCAACACTCATGACAACTTTAAGCAAAGTTGAGATATACTACTTTTATTTTAAAAGAAACCAATCCATATATAATCGCTACACCTAACATGACCACCAAAGCCACCAATAAAACCCCACTTATTAAATCAAATCATTAACTTACAATTAAAAAAAAACTACATATTATTTGAGAATTTATTGTAAAAAGGGCCAAAAAATATGGTTTTGAGGAATCAAATTCGATCTTAATGTTTTGATTTTTTTTAATAATTTCGGGTAATCATGTCTCCATAATTTCGGTAATTATGTCTTCATAATTTCGGGTAATCGGGTAATCATGTCTCCGAATTTTATTGCTAACAAATTACTTGGTAAAATTTTATATCCGGCTTATTTATTGATCACCCGGAACACACACGGTTCACCCGTCAGTTAATCGTGAAACGTTCTTTCGATTGGGTACAATCATGTAAAATTACATGCAAGTTTGTAATTTTTGTAACACAACTCTAAATTTTAATTGCGTAGTTCGCCTATTATAGTTTGAATTCCGAACCAGTCAAACTGATTTTGACTTGACAACTATGAGGATCGCGGATTAAATTATATTGAAGATAACACTTGGCTTGTCAATTGGAATCCAATGATTCTTATACCATACAATTCGTCTCATCAAGAAGAACCGAATGATGTAAAAACATTAAATTCTATCAAAGGATTGCAAGATAATCGTACAAATGCTTTTTAATATAGAACGAGTGATACTGCGAATGATTGTCGTACATTTACCTTCCGACTGTTGAAGTTCCTTGACACTAATAAAAGTTGTGTAAACACAAGCCAACTTGCTTTTTTTGGTCTTAGAATATAAATAAACAAAATGATTATTTATTGAAATAGACTTTGTAATTAGCAATATTTTTAATAAAGTTTTACTATTTGTGGTTTCAGAATTAATGACTCTACATCTTATTAATAAATGACGTACATATTTCAAGACAATTGATTTATAAATCCTATTTTTAAAAGTATATTTGTTTATAATCGCTTAGTGGTAAAAAAAGTTAATATCGTCGGGTATGACTAGAGTCAAAATTCTAAAACAGCAAATATGATTTTTAAACTTTCAAGTTCAAAATAAGTTAATTCTGTATTGCAAATAACGATTTGTGATAGCAGTGTTGTTAAACGATTTGTTCTTTGATACCGTACAGCGCTGTATACATATCCCTGGTTATTTTACAAAAAAGCTAAGATTAATTACATAATACGCTGGGAGTACTGTAATGTGTTTGACATATAACAGGATCAATGATTCGGATCATGAACACAACAACATTGAGGATTTATGCAATTTGAGATTGGATAATTTTGGATTAGTAATCAAAAAGTAAGCTAACTACTATTCTGCGATAATTACCAACGTTTAATAACTCCAAATGTGGACCTCAAACCGTATTTAAACACAACATTTGTAAATGAAAAAAAAATTTTTTCTTGTTCTTAAATCTGTGAAAAAATCTTGCAAATGGCAACCGAAAGTTTTGTTTTAGTTATAACAGGTGCTTCTTCTGGTATTGGTAGAGGGATTGTCCTAGAAGCTATCAAAAATGGAGCTCGGGTTATTGGATGCAGTAGAAGTAGTGAAAAGCTCGAAGCATTGAAAAATGAAGTAGTTAAACAAGGTTATTCTGCAGATTCATTTAATTATATAGCTGGTGATGCATCAAACAAAGATGTGGCGAAAGCTGCTATTGAAAAAGCCATTGAACTTTGCGGTCGTATCGACGTTCTTATTAATAATGTTGCGTAAGTTCATTTATGAGTGGCTGTAGTACATAATGTCAATATTGTTAATCTAAATTATTTATTTTTAGTGATTGCACTGTTGGTGATCGTATCTCAAACACAAATTTCAATAAATTTGTAAGGTAAAAGGATTCACGAACGATAAAAATTTGATATTTGTTCATAACAAATTAAATTTTTAGGTCTTACGAAGTCAACGTTTTCACTGCATTGTATTGGACTCAAATGGCCTTGCCTCATTTAAACAAAGTAAAAGGGAAGATTATAAATATAAGTAGTGCCGCGAGTATTTATCCTATGGTGGGATCTTCAGCTTATTGCAGGTACTTACGTGTAACATAGATTTAATACAAAATTAATATGTTCGCATCAGTTTAATCGTTTATAAAACTGTATCAAGTACGAAGGCTGCCTTAAATATGATTACCGCATGTTTGGCTGAAGAAGAAAAAGAAATTCAAACAATTGCGATTTGTCCAGGACCTGTATACACTGAGACTATGGAAGCTAATTATAAAAAAATTGGTTAGTTTAAATTAGCTTCATTTTAAATAAGTAATGTTACATATTTAACATTTTGATAACTAATTACCATTTCAAAAGAACCTCTAAGCAAATATAGCAAAGAAGAATTACGTGAAAGAATATTCCATCCTGAAGATACAGGGCACTATGTTTGGCGTTTGATTACTAACTTTCCCACCGAATTTAACGGAAAGTTTGTAAATTCTGCCGAACCATCCTTAGCCAGTTATCATAAAAGAACCATTATTGGTCTTTGATAAATTATGATTATTATTATAGCTAATAATTGGTATTCTGTTGCAGACAATGTAATAACATAAAATTACCAATAATTGGTAATTTTATAATGCTTCTATTACAAATTATTGATAAGCTTAAATGTTTTTGCCTAAATAAAAAATTTTTAAAGATAAATAAATATAAGGCTAGCAATTCTAGCGTTACTCACAAAATGTCTATCCTTTAACTGATAATCTGATTAATTTTTGTTAAAAATCAAAGTATTAAAAAAATAATTTTGGTAATATTATTGGTATAATAAATATAGTGTACATTTTTCACTGTCCAAGCTTTTTTGGCCATGTCCAAAGCATATCCAAATTCTAATAATTAATAAATTTGTCTAGCCCTATGCGTTGACGATAGTCACGCTAGGGCTATTATCGCGAGGATCACCCAGATTTGGGCCTTGTGTAATGTG